GGTGTTCATATTTTTAGGACTACAAGCTCAAATGGATTGCCCAATATGTCTCCATACTCCTTTACCAGACTGTCATAATCATCATTATGACCAGTCATATTAGGTATCATAATGACTACAAAAGATGTGAATACCTTGGCTTACTTTACATAATGGCTGACTAGGAACAGAACTGATAAGAAAATTATACAAATGTTATCATGTACATAAAAACAGCAAATAACTAATATACAAGCTGTGTATTAGATTTCTGGTCCTGAACATGGAATGAGGGTACAAGTCCTAACCATGATAATGCCATGTTATACAACATCAAGCCGACTTCCTCACTTTGATTTCAGGTTCAATAACGCAAAAATGATTTTTCAATATACTTTTATATATTATTCTGAGATCCAGCACCATATACCCGAAGACCAAACCCATCATAGAACCCCTGACCTAAAAGAAAGATGTGGCAGGAGAGGGTAACTGCTACACAGGGGTTTATGGTTAATTTTCGGTTAGAACTTAGGGAGTGTTCTGTAAACCCATGACCCCATTTTACAACTATCCTACAAGCTATAAACATAAAAGACCAAACCAAACTAAAACACGAAAAACTCCAACTACCCTTATTAAACTCCAAGGGTCCATTCACACCTAAACTATAATGTGCATCAAAGCAAACCGTCCGACTGCAGAGCCATTCTTTGTAAAAGGCACCCCAACACAATCTACAGTAGATGCCAAGACACCAGAGCACAACAGAACATACACTATATTGCAAAAAGTATTAGGACACCTGCCTTTACACGCAAATGAACTTTAACGGTCTTAGTCTGTAAGGTTCAATATTGAGTTGGCCTGCCAATTGCAGCTATGACAGCTTCAACTCTTCTGGGAAGGTGTCCACAAGGTTTAGGAGTGTGTCTATGGGAATGTTTGACCATTCTTCCAGAAACGCATTTGTGAGGTCAGGTACTGATGTTGGACGGGAAGGCCTGTCTCGCAGTATCCGATCTAATTCATCCCAAAAGGTGTTCTATCGGGTTGAGGTTAGGACTCTGTGCAGGCCAATCAAGTTCCTCCACCCCAAACTTGCTCATTCATATCTTTATGGACCTTGCTTTGTGCACTGGTGCGCAGTCATGTTGGAACAGGAAGGGGTCATCCCCAAACTGTTCCCACAAAGTTGGGAGCATGAAATTGTCTAAAATGTCTTGGTATGCTGATGCCTTAAGAGTTCCCTTCACTGGAACTATTGGGCCAAGCCCAACCCCTGAAAAACAACCCCACACCATAATCCCCCCTCCACCAAACTTTACACTTGGCACAATGCAGTCAGGCAAGTACCGTTCTCCTGGCAACCGCCACGACACTCCCATCACATTGCCAGACAGAGAAGCGCGATTCGTCACTCCAGAGAACACGTCTCCACTTCTCTAGAGGTCTGTAGCTATTGACTCTGCGGAGCGTTGGCGACGTCTGCGCACTGTGCTCTTCAGCATGCTCTGACCCCGCTCTGTCATTTTATGTGGCCTACCACTCATGGCTGAGTTGCTGTTGTTCCCAGTTACTTCCACTCTATTATGATACCACCAACAGTGGACCGTGGAATATTTAATAGCAAGGAAATTTCACGGATGGACTTTAATGCACAGGTGGCAACCAATCACGGTACCACTCTGGAATTCACTGAGCTATTGAGAGCGACCCATTCTTTCACAAATGTTTGTAGAAGCAGACTCCATGCCTAGGTGCTTGGTTTTATACACCTGTGGCCATGGAGATGATTGAAACACCTGAGTACAATGATTTTGAGGGGTGCCCCAATACTTTTGGCAATATAGCGTACATACGTGCATTTTTGAGAGTTGCAGTGGGTTGGAAAAAAGGGTCATAACCATTAATTGGTCCATTGATATCCATTGGCAGCCCTTTTATAATGGTCTGCCTTTAGGCAATGCACATTGATGCAACTCAATGGACCTTTTAGATGTAAATGGACCATAAGTGAAATTGTCACTAGTAACTGTTTAAAAAAGGACACCAAAAAACAGTTCTAGCCTTTTCCTAACTGGACCATGTGGCTGCTCCAAATGCTCTTGCAAAAAAGGCAGACCGGAGTGATGTATTTTACCGTTTAGCCAAACAACTTGTTCAGGCAGTTCTGTGGCTTGCCCTAAGCAACCTTACAATGTGACAGACTATTGTAGGTATTAAAGAAAAAATCCACACACCCAAGGGGCCCTTTGCTACCAAGTTCCTTAAACCATGACACAGAACACAATCTCTAATAACCACTGCAAACATACATTCCAACAACATACATTGAAAACACTTGACTGATAAAATCTAGTGCAAAAGGACAAACACTACTGATTATCAAGGTCAAAGTTCCAAAGCCAGTCTCTGACTTTCCCCATACAAATACTTGTGCCTGAAATTACAAATATGTAGAATGATTAAAGTCAGTACAGAGTAACCTGTATATAAAGTATACTTGCTGAAAGAAGTGTGACTATACCTACCTTTCCGCTGGCCTACTGAAACATTGCCGTTTCCCTGCCAAGCACTCGACTGGTTGGATGGGTGGAATACCTGGTTTTCCCCACTGCAGACAGATTTTTCTTCCGACTTCCTATAGCGACACTTGACCCAGTGAAAGAAACCACAGCATGCAACAGGGAAGCAAGTATTACACAAACGTGCAAGTGTGGAATACTTGCCGCAGCCAGGGAGTAGCAATCACAATTACCTCTCAGGATCATTCCAAATTACCAGTCTAGTACAAACTTCTTTCAACAGTACCAAGCCCTGATGAAGGGGCATGCATTGTACAAATCATGTTGACTTTTTATGACACAGGAGTCTGAATAAAATATACAGGGTTATTCAGAAAAGGGTGAAGAGTTTGGAGAAGACAGAAGAAGTGAACAATCTAGGACATCATTGCTGAACTGGAAAGTGAGCTGAATTGGAGAATTTGTCCTAATCGGCTATGTTGTCCTACATTGTTCACTTCTCCAGTCTTCCCCAAACTCTTCACCCTTTTGTGAATAGACCTGTAAATGTGAACTTTAAACCCTGTTCCTACCCAAGCACAGAGCTGACCTTCAAGTATTAGCCCTTGGAGAGCCGGCTAAAGCTGACCACACATGTTACAAACTGATTGTACAATCTCCTTTAGATCTACTAACAAGTGTGTAGTACAAGGGCCTGCCTGATTGTATACAGATTGACTGGATAGGATGAGTAGGTCCTCATATTACATAGATTTGGTAGATCTAAAGTTGATTGTACAGAGATTGTACAGCCAGATTGTAAAGTGTGTTGACCCCAACAGTAATCATTCTCCATTTATATGCAAGAATTATTGTCAGTCATACCGTTCGTTTTCAGGTTCCCGCTTTTTAAAGTTTTGTTTACATTTATTATGGTTACACCATAGGGGGTTGCAGTGCATCCCCCTAACTTCCGTTTAGAGGGCGTACACCCTCTCTCCTGGACCACTGCTGGTGGGGCTACATGTGTCACGAGTACCAGCGTGTGCATGCATAATGTGCAAGCATGAGGAACTCACGGAGCGTTTCTGCTGGTCGGCTTCTTCAGGGTGGGGAGTGTCCACACTGTAGAGGCACCACAGCTGATAGGAGCCACTACTAAAACGTCAGCGTTGCAAACCAGGAAAAAAAGCCAAAAAAACGATTTTGTGCGAAATGGAAGCAATGTAAAAAATTTGACCTACATAAATGTATATTATAATTAGGGAGGTTCAGATACCAGTGCTGATACTTGGCATTTTCATGAGATCTACCAGGGTTGCAGCTGGGACGCTCCTTACAATTGACAGCTGCTTCCTGACGTTTGAGTTTTTCTCTAGTCTTGGAGCTGGAGACGTATCTGTACTTGGTATCTGAACACCCCTAATATTTATATATAAAACAGAAGAGTGCCTATGTTATGTAAATATTACCATTTGAGATTAATAACACTGGAAAGTCGTAGTAAACTGCTGTGTGTTGGGCGAGTATCATACAAGTACGTCACTGGCATTAGGCATCTTAGAGACGATTAGAGAGGTTTACATTGTACAGCACGTTTGCCATACAGTGCCCGCAGGGAAAACTAATAAAATGCTAGGGGAGAGAGGGAGAAGTTTTCTATAATTGCTAGGAGGTAGGGATTTTTGCCAGGAGAGACCTGCAGATGTTCTTCTGCCAACAATCCCTACCTCCTAGCAATTATTTTTTTACTTAACTTCCGCTTTGTGGCCTGGCTGAGAACTTCTACAGTTTTAAAGGGCAAGTCCACTATCCTTAGTGAACTTGGCAAAATAGAATTACCCCTTCCAATCTTGCACCCTCTCCACACCCCACTGTACTTAAATTTCATCAAACACTCCCATAAGGCCACAATAAGTACTTCTCGTTGGTCAGAAGGGATTCTCATTGGTCAGCGCAGTCAGGTGACTGTGCTAATGAGTCCTCACGATTTGCAAGCAAAGTTCAAAATCCATAGCGCAGGGCTGTGCTACACAGCAGTATGGGGTACAGGTAGTACACCTGTATCAGTGGGAGGGGAAAGGAGTTTGCCAAAAGATAATAGGTGGGGGGGTTGGCCAAAATGGAGGGGGAAAAAACCTTTTCCAAGGCCCTGTGCCCCCCCCCCCCTCCCTTCTTCTATACAAAACATGTAATCCATGCGTCATGATTGTACTGTGAGCAGACGACTTCTATGCCAGCATTGTGTATAATAGGCTTTTAATGCACACTAGTCATGTGACCAGGGAATGTGGTAACAATAGAAAGGCGATCTATTGTGTTCTTATTAAATGGCATCCTGTGTTATCAGCCCCATCCTCAGGATCACATTACAATTAGCACAGCATCCCTCGCCCCAAGTGTCAGCTCTGACTTCCTAATGGAACGGCCAGAGACCTAACGCAGCAATACTGTATGCGGGCCTGACACCGCTGTGTGCCCTCCGGCCGGCCTGCACCGACCTCTCCCACTTACCGAGGCCCAGCAGACACAGCGTCACATAACACAGACAGCGCTCCATAGTCTCTCCAGGCCAGCACAGACCCGTACAGCTCGTCTACTTCTCTCCCACTGACTGCAACACACTCGGCACAGTCACATGACAGCCCACGGCCGCGCCCACCACTCTGCCATCGCCTTGATTTTATGGTTTACGGCCTTCTATGGGCGGGAAAGAGAAAATATATTTTATGTTCGATAGCTCGGTCCTCTAGTGTCATACACGCTCTCTTTCCCTAAAAACGTGTTACACACAAACATAGTCGTACAATTCGTGTATTGTTTAATATCTGAAGGTGGAAATGTTTACAATAATTTTTTATTTGTGAATGCGGGAGGTGTATGACAAACAGGAAAAGCTAACAGAACAGTAAATGCTGAGTCAAATGCACTGAGGATGAGAGGTCTGGCAGCGTCTGTCATCGTGTTACGCAATAGTAAACTGTGTAAAACAACAAAGTGCTAAGACTACATCCAGACACCCACCTTTGTTTTATAGTTCCTCTCATGCCTGCCAAGTATATCCTTATTCTGGGCAGAGGAGAGGAGAATCAAAACCACTTTCAGTTTTTTTGCCATCTGTGCAGGATAGCTTTATTCAGAGGGCAAAGTGGCCATTTGCCAAGGGCCCACTGTCTAGGGGCCCGCATGAAGAGGGGAATTTTTTTTTTGGCCCTCTATGATGGTCAGAGGCGGCTCTTTCGTTAGGCAGTCGCCTAAGGCCTCTTGCTCACAGGGGCCTCGTACCCGACTAACTGGCCTGGTCTACAGCATCAGCTCACCTCCTGGGTGACACAGGACCAGGGCAGATGCTAGCGTAGGACTGGGCCCCTACACTGGACGTCTGCCTTACTCTGCCATCAGACTGGCTCACCGGTGGGAGGGGGGGGTGTTGTGGTTCAGCCAATGGGGAGGAGACGGGGTTGTGTGCTGTGCTTGTCCCTGCAGCAGCACAGGCAGAGAGGAGAGCGGTGGGAAGTGTGAGTTCCTGGGGACACCGGAAGGGGGACCTGTTCAGAGGGCAAGGGAGCGTATCCTGAGAGTGGCTGTTGATGGAGGTAGGTTGATGTATCATTTATTCTGACGGTGGAAAGTGGCCAGGGAGACGAGGAGGGTCCGCTCTATGTTGAGTACCAACATGCCTGACCACTGATCACCCACTGTAGTGACATGCCTGACCATTAACCACCCACTGTAATGACTTGCCTGACTACTGACCACCCACTGTGCCAACATGCCTAACCATTGACCACCCACTGTGCCAACATGCCTAACCACTGACCACCCACTGTGCCAACATGCCTAACCACTGATCATCCACTGTACCGCCATGCCTGACCATTGAATGCCCACTGTACCGACATGCCTGACCCCCTGCTGAACCAACATGCCTAACCCCTGACAGCCCACTGTACCGACATGCCTAACCATTACCTACCCACTGTAACGGTTTGCCGGACCACCCACTGTGCCAACATGCCTAATCACTGACCACCCACTGTACCAACATGCCTAATCACTGACCACCCACTGTACCAACATGCCTAATCACTGACCACCCACTGTACCAACATATCTAATCACTGACCACCCACAGTACCAACATATCTAATCACTAACCACCCACAGTACCAACATATCTAATCACTGACCACCCACTGTACGAACATATCTAATCACTGACCACCCACAGTACCAACATATCTAATCACTAACCACCCACAGTACCAACATATCTAATCACTGACCACCCACTGTACCAACATATCTAATCACTGACCACCCACTGTACCAACATATCTAATCACTGACCACCCACAGTACCAACATATCTAATCACTGACCACCCACAGTACCAACATATCTAATCACTGACCACCCACTGTACCAACATATCTAATCACTGACCACCCACTGTACCAACATGCCTGACCATTGACCACCCCTGTACCAACATGCCTAATCACTGACCACCCCTGTACCAACATGCCTGACCATTGACCACCCCTGTACCAACATGCCTAATCACTGACCACCCCTGTACCAACATGCCTAATCACTGAGCACCCCCTGTACCAACATGCCTAATCACTGAGCACCCCCTGTACCAACATGCCTAATCACTGAGCACCCCCTGTACCAACATGCCTAATCACTGAGCACCCCCTGTACCAACATGTCTAATCACTGAGCACCCCCTGTACCAACATGCCTAATCACTGAGCACCCCCTGTACCAACATGCCTAATCACTGAGCACCCCCTGTACCAACATGCCTAATCACTGAGCACCCCCTGTACCAACATGCCTAATCACTGAGCACCCCCTGTACCAACATGCCTAATCACTGAGCACCCCCTGTACCAACATGCCTAATCACTGAGCACCCCCTGTACCAACATGCCTAATCACTGAGCACCCCCTGTACCAACATGCCTGATCACTGAGCACCCCCTGTACCAACATGCCTAATCACTGAGCACCCCCTGTACCAACATGCCTAATCACTGAGCACCCCCTGTACCAACATGCCTAATCACTGAGCACCCCCTGTACCAACATGCCTAATCACTGAGCACCCCCTGTACCAACATGCCTAATCACTGAGCACCCCCTGTACCAACATGCCTAATCACTGAGCACCCCCTGTACCAACATGCCTAATCACTGACCACCCCTGTACCAACATGCCTGACCATTGACCACCCCTGTACCAACATGCCTAATCACTGACCACCCCTGTACCAACATGCCTGACCATTGACCACCCCTGTACCAACATGCCTAATCACTGAGCACCCCCTGTACCAACATGTCTAATCACTGAGCACCCCCTGTACCAACATGTCTAATCACTGAGCACCCCCTGTACCAACATGCCTGACCACTGACCACTTAAAATATGCAATTTATTACGGTAATTTTTATTTATCGTTTGCTTTTCTTTCCATTATGGGTGTAAGGCCTGGTTCACACTCAGCGTATTGTCGTAGCTGATTCAGCACGACAAAGAGCTTCCCCCAAAACATCCCATTCATTCCTATGGGCCCTGTTCACACTTGAGCATTTTGTTGCAATAAGCAAAACGCCTGTCGCTGGAAAAAGTACATGAGCTTCTTTTTGGCAGATTACAGCTCGTTTTGTCCCCATAGAGTCAAGAGAAAACGCTTGAAAGCACGCATTGCAATTGTTCCTGTGCACATTTTGCCCATAACCATCGCCCTACGGATCACCCACGTCATTGCACACATATACAAATGGGCAGGATGAATGTCACACTCACTCATCAGGTACCTGTTGTGAAGCAATGTTGTATGTTTACCTACGCATTGTTCACTTATTTACTGCTTTACCAGGATTACCGTAGCGAGTCAGTCTTATTTGTTATATTACATTGTGCATGTTGTGTGACCTATTTAGGTGGTAGGTAAGGAAGAGGGGAGAAAGGGGGGGCCCCCTATAAAAAAAATTTGCCCAGAGCCTTGAGTCAGCCCTGCATCTGTGTCTCAAAAGGAAGATTTCCCTGCACTTCCTGTACTATATATTCAACAGAAAGTGAGAGGACATCTTTCTATTTTTTTTAAAGCCCGTGGAGCTAACACAAAAAGATACGGATGGATGTTTTTTTTTATAAACTTAGTGATTTTCACCTGAGAGTCTAATGAGATTTAAAAATTGTAGCCACACGGCTTATCCTTGAGTTAAAGCTTTGTAAATTGAGCGTAGTAAAAGAGGTGTCCCAATTACACTGGTAGTTCAGCACGTGCACATTTTGTACAACCAAATAAAACCACAGCCATAGTTGTTGTATGTACATTGGACACAATTCACTGTCTGTTGCTCATAACCCCAATCCCTTGGTCTTCTAAATGTATTAGGACTAGTGTTCAGGGGCATTTGAGATGTATTTACCATTTGTTTAACCCCTTCATGACTGAGCTTGTTTTTGGTTTCTGTTCGTAAATGACTGACACACTTTTGACATTTTTGCTGTGTGATTCTTCCACATCAGTAATATACTTTCTTACAAAGTGCACCCACACATATTATATATTGTTTTTTAGAGGACAGATAGGGCTACATATTTATATCACATATGTGTGTCTAACGCCTCACTTAGCACAAATACAAATTAAAAAAAGAGGAAAAAACGTAAAAAAAAACTTTTTTTCCCAGTTTTGATTTGTAGTATTTTTTTTTAACAAAACCAGCACAGCTAAAAAAAAATGCAATACATACATTCATTTATTTGTCCCTTATTTTTAATTTTTTTACACTTTTCACTATTTTTTTTAATTTATTTACACTTTTCACTTTTTTTATACTGACAAATTTTATTTATTTAATTATATCAGGCAGTCATTGTGAATTAATCTCACTATTACTGCTTGATAAATTAATACATTTTTTTTTATTATCAGGCTGCTTCAAACTTCAGAACAGCCGATAATAAGTTAGTGACACTGATCCTGCAGCAGTTCAGGATTCAGCTGTCAGTGAATGTTTCAGAAAACTTAAACATTCTACTTTCAAGAATAGATACATTATGTGTCTAATACATAACATTTTGTATCTATTCTTGAAAGTCAAAAGATAAAAAAAAAAAGCCAGTATAGCTTGAGAGAGATATCTCTCGATCTATACGAGCTGTCAGAATGCCGGCAAAAGCCGACATGTGTGTCTGCTTTGCTGTGACTCTCAGACACCCGATATTAAGGTATCGGGTGTCTGAAAAAGGTTAACCCTTTCAGTAATGGATCTCTAGATAGTTAGACATCTATTACTGAAAGGTAACCGCTGATTCTCAGCGGTTAGCAGCCTTCTAGTGCAGCAAATAACTCGTCACGTACAGTGTACGTGACGAGTCATTTGGTCCCTTTGTGGCTGGACGTACAGTGTACGTCTCCCGTCACGAAGGGGTTAATGTGCATTCATGTTGACCTTTCTGATGAAACGAAAGTGAAGCAGATTAGCCTTTGAAGAAGATGCCACTGCCACATATTAGACTGATAAGTAAGGGGTAGTCATCTGCATCTGCACAGGCCCAGCTCATTGAAGAAGGCAAGGCATTCACAGCTAGGCTACCTGTCAC